ACTCGTATAAATCAAATATAATTTTGTAAATTGCATAAACCGTTACGAACAAAACAGCATCATGTATTTATGCATTGCTTAATACAAAGAGCCAAATCGCCCATCACGCAGATTGCATTTAAAAACATAAGAGACGCAGTGAAAATGAATAAACCTCCACAAATTCGCGACGTGTTTTCTAAAAGTTTAAACTGTTTTAACTTTGCATGGCTACATCTCTTGTGTGAGACGCGAGTGCAACTCGATAATTTTTGATATCGTTATCGAAGAAGGTGTACTGTCGATAAATATCGATACCGTTTTATCGCCCAGGCCTACTACCAAGTGCCTAAAAATCCTAAATATCTTACAGATTTGATGAATATAAGCTGGCAAATTCAGTCATTAGTTCTTCATTAGAAACAAACTTTGTTTCCAAGCATGTTGGTGTGCCTCCTCTTTAGATGTCTCTTATCTATAATTTTGTGTTCTTTGGCATTTTTAATGAACATGCTCATTTATCACATTTTTATCACAAGTCTGTCCTATGAGAGATTAGTAACCATTGCTCTTTTTTTATGAGGAGAGCTTCTATATTTCACCCCAACCTCACTCATTAAAGTGTCTGTTAATTGGCATCCATTACACCAGTGCTTTGTACGATGCAGCTGGGTGTGTATGTATAATCAGCCCTGTGCCAGAGTGTTAATGGCCATGTCCCACTCTGAAACCTTGCTGCATGGCAGCAATGAACACCAGCCCCTCCCTGTGGAGGGTGTAATTATGGAGCTTCATGGGGAGCAGTGCTGGGCAGCAGAGGCAGAAACTGGAGTGAAGCCTGCAATGTGATGTCTGAAGGGGGATTGGCTCTATTGACGGAGCCCCAGTCAGCTCTTCTGGCAAAGACGTCTACGGGGTGTTACGGGAGTAAACATCTTCCTTTTTATTTCTCCTTTTGCCTTAACAAAAAGGTAAAGTGGTGGCACCATAGTACAGTGTTGCTATCACATAGTATTACTAGAGTATTTTGATATACATATATTCACATTTTTCAAGGTACCATGTCCAAAAAAAGGTAATAAATTTGGTTATCTTCTCTCTCATTCCCTCACTCTCCTTTTTTGTGTCTTTTCTCACTCGACTGAGTGTTTTAACACTCTGTTTTTGAAAATACACTAGGCCCTGTCAGAGTGCAACCCATCATCTGGCCAGTATTGATTGTGCTTCCTGCCAAGGAGGGCAGTCTTTGTCCGCCCGCCCCCCAATCTTCTTCCAACACATCAAGCTCATTATGCAAATCTGACCGTCATTGTGCATTTCACTCAGCCCAGACAATTGATCAAGCAATAAAACACAATTAGCTCAGCAGGGGGCCATAGAGTAGAGCGAGAGGTCTCGCGGCTGTAACCCCTCCACATGCAAGAGCTGTTGGGGGTCTGGGGTATTAAAAGCTCTGAACTTTCCCGGGCTATGAACTGATGCCCTACGAAAACAGTAAATTAAGTGTGTTTCGTATTATTGCTGCTAAAGATGACTTTAAAAAATCAAGTCTACAGTCATTAGTCTGTACCCAATTTGATCCCATATATTTTTGTTTGAATGATCAGTTACATTAATACAGGAATGTTGCTAAAAGATCTAGAAATATTACTTGGCAAATGATAGTTAATAAAAAAAATTGTTTACACTGTACATTGTGTTTACACTAAATTCTGTGCTCTTGTGTGTTATATAATTAGGTCATCCTGTAAAGCAGGGGTTTTCAAACATTTTGATGCCAAGGAAATATGATCTCCTTGCAAGGGACCACCTTCCTAAAATATAAAGATGGCAATATAGTTTCAAGTATAACAACCCATTTATATTATGTGAGAAAATGTGATATTATAAAGATAACCTGTTGTTTGCAAAATTAAGTAAATAATGAAATTATTAAAAAATATATATGTTGCACTAAAGCCAAAACAAATGAATAAAGTATTAACTGGAAAATACTGACCTTATTTTCACTCTGTATTAAAAACCACTTTAAAGATCCTAACAACCATATAGCAACACCCTATCAAGGTGGTGAGTTTTGCGTATGCAGACAGCCCTCACATTTCTTTCTAAATTGTTTTTACTATTTATTTGTGGTTACCTCCTTAGGGATTTTGTATGTATGAGTGTGTCTTGTGTCTGAGAGAGGAGGATGCAGAATATGTTTGAGTCATCATTCTGAGCTGACAATTGTGTCTGGATTGTCTGTAAATATGGTGATGACAAATCATAGACACAGATTTTAAGACCATGCCAGACAATTCAGTTTTTGTTTTTCAATAAGCTTTCATTGTAGCTCGAACATGCCTTCAAAGAAGCGGCACTTCACACAAGCTCAATGTTTGATCACGTGTATTGGTGTGGCTTCTGTTATATTTATATGTTTTTTGTACCTTACCATCTGAAAAGTTAGTATTTTTTGTGCTTTTGGTTAGGTTGAATGTCTTGTGGCAGTTCACCCAGTCAGGGTGACAGTCCAATCCAGTGTT